TTTCTTACTGGCATAAGTTCGGATCGGTAATATTGGAAAATTTATATCCAACCACTCATCAAAATTTCACATTGCCATTTAGTCACTCATTTTTCAGCATCCCGACGATTTAACCTGTCGTTAGAATATGCTGTAATTATTAAAAGTGTAAAATACATTTGAGTGCTTTTAAGACTGGCAAAGATTGCACGCCTTTCCTTTGCTTTGAAATGCAGAGGATGAGCCGAATTGCTTGCTGTCTTGAGCATCATTTCAGATAGCGCTTATGGTCGCCAATGCAATAAGCAGCTTCTTGCAGCCATCCATTTACGAAAGCATCATTAATATCAAGAACCTGCCGCATTTGGCCGATCTACCCCCTTCACGAATCAGGTTCACTAATTATCTACATAACCAGGCAGCAACATGCACTAGGCTTGCCAGTGCGACTATGCGTTTCTGCATAAATCTTGAAACAGTCAAATCGTTAATTGTATAAATGGTTGTTGCTTTACAATTTAACATGTACATTCATGTTGGCAATGCTTTTCCTACATACTGCGTTAACGGAGCATCGACGAACGGCCGGGACTGTAGTGCTGCACCGCGGGACGGCGTGAAACCTTGACTTCTAGCACGTACAATTCCGTAAATTTTGCTTATAAGCATCGTCGAGAATAAGCAACCTGGTTTTCGCTGTATTCGCACGCGAAACGTAGCATTTCTGAAAGCTGAATTTGTGCTGGAATAACGCACTAGATTTGTAAACAAAAAGTTTCCGTTTTCTTGTTTGTCTGATTGCCGAGAAATACGGATGATGAAAGCATTGTAGCTTGAACATTTGATGCTTCTGTGCGCCTAGCACATACAAAATCAGAGGCTCGCCTATTGGCTCGCACCCGGACAGTAAAGATCCTCACAGAATCGCAGCTTCCTGCTCGCTCTGGTTGCAGAGTTAAACAAGTGCGAAATTGCCGATTTCCTTGCGTAGTCGTAAGACCCAAGCTCGCCTCACAGCTGAAATTGAAGCCTTCAAATTGTATTTAGACACAGAATATTCTTGCGAAATTTTAGATTCCTAGCTTGTCCGGTTCCCGAAATTGCTTCACTATAAATTTTTTCGATATGCTTTTATACGAGATCTAAGCGTAGATCTC